TTAAGTACTTAATAGTTCAATCAAGAATTAAACTATATCTTGAATTAAATTATGACTTTTAGTTTTAACCCTAGATAAATTTGATAAATTAGACTAGATAGCTCATGTTATAGTCTTCACCATACCGGAGTGTTTCAGCTGAAATTGAAAATATGAATTTAGCTCTGCTCTAGTTACGTCAAAACAGTACATTAAGAGTTCGGACAAGGACCATGGAATATAAGGGAGAGGGAATCGACCCGGACCGGCCTTTCATATGATTATACATATGCTTTGCAGACGGTACTCCATTTGAATAAGAAATATGCTTTCCTTTACTGTCTGATGTACAATTACATCGTATACATGTATTCAGAATAGGTTATTGTAAACATTTAACAAAGAAACATTTTTTTGGGATGCAAAAATTTAGCAAAACAAACGTATTTTTTTGATAACATAAAAAATCGTTTTTTTAATATGCTATAGTAAAAAACCACATTTGAAAAAAATCGACCTTTAAAAAACATATTGTAGTGCGGACCTGAGTCGATTCCTTCTCGGCCTAATATTCCATACTCCTTGGCTATGGTTTATGCTTCGTACAAATGTATGGTGTGTTTAAACTTGTGAGCAGAGGCGTATTCAGGGGAGGAGCTATAGGGTCTAAGCTGTAATGATTACAGAAAATTCATTTTATAATTTTTAGGTGGTGTTTTGGGATTCTGGGGTGGAGTATTATTACTGGGAGCAGTGTTTCTGGTAGCTTTGATGGCACAGAAATATTGTTGTGATACTGGTCAAAGAAAAGATGATATTGATTGAGTTTTTTTTAATAAAGAAAATAAAAAATTGACCATATTGAATTAAATTTGGTTTTGAAAAAAAATTCAAAAAAATAATAATATGGAATACAAGTCGTTTTAGAAGTTTTTTCATCAGAATCATTGCTAAGGATTTTACTGGCTAGACACTGAAAAGAAGACCCAAAAAAATTCTGCCTTCAATTTAGTGTTTTAACTGTAAACAAAATGATTAAGCAAATAATTAGCCTTCAAGGAATCGTAAATGTAAAAAAAGGGACTAAACAAATTCCACAGAGTCTTGGAAGTCTCATATCCCTTCTGAGAAACCCTGTAAAACATGCTTAACTCTGAAGTTAAACTGAAGTAATTTTTAATTTCGGAATCAAGCAATGATCTACGAAATAATGTAATCAACAACTTCAATAGATCGGAATCAAGAATTGATCCTGAGATTTAAAATAGTTCATATATTGCATACATATATCAAAAAATATTTAATAAAGACGATGTTCATTTTGCTTTTGAAAATATAAAAATCACATTTGTTTGATTTTATCTACGACAATTATAGAACGTGCAGTTACATTTAAGATTCTTACTATAAGCTTCCCTCGACCGTCTTTACCATAGAGAATAGAATATATAGAGAGGAATTTACTGGAAAAAAGTGTAAAACGGCCATTTTGTTGTACTGTTTCCATACTGCAGGTGTACTTCACATATTTATGCTATATAACCTGTTGGGCCCTGGAATATCATTTTATAGAAAATCTAAAATTATCGTTAAAAGAAAACCAAATTATGAAATAGGCTGGTTTCATAATTGACCAATGATCATTTCACATTGACTCTATGCCTTTTACTTTACAAACGATGATTTAACAGCTTAACATAATTCGAAATTGAAATGAATAGTCTAGGGAACATACTGAATATGCTCTACTGCATATAATTTGTGAACATTTACATGATTTGTACACTTTGAACTCCCTTTCAGGCTGAAAGGGACTGAACAAATTCATGCCGAGAGATTCTCTAAATTCCCTTCTAATATATATTCTATTCTCTATGTCTGCAGTGCATATACTGACCAAAGAAATAGTAGGATGTAGCAGAGAGTGTCTTACCATAAAATTGTGAACTTGGAAGACGACTGTTAGAATTCATATATATTTTTTTAAATAGTTTAATGAACATCAAAAACGTTTTCTTTGGGGAGGATGCATTGAGAGGCTAAATACGAGGAATATTAAGAAGAAAAGCTAAAGTATGGTATATGTGTCACAAATACTTGTCAAGAGGAATCTAAAAGCATATTTTTTCTGTTTTGACCTTGTTTTCATTCATTTAATTCATCAAATTATGTTTCATACAATATTTAGTGTAACACATTATGAGTTTGGCGGAGACACCTACATGATAGATTTCATAAAAATATATTAATTTTTACAATATTAAATGAGGCACATGTTTTAAACCTAAATCTTGTTGGAGGAATTCAAAGGTTTGAGTGATTTGATATTGTGTATTTCAAACTCCTCTATAAAGATAAAAAAATAAAAATTAGGTATACAACATATGTCACTCTCAATATCTTATAAAATGTGCCTTTCTTCGATATTAAATCTTGTGTGAACAATTTTTAAATAATTTTTTTGGATGGGCAGATATCTATCTGTACATTTTCGAAATTATTGCATTAGTTTAAAAAAATATGAAAACTTGCTGTTTATCAAGTTTAATGTTTCGATTTTACTGACAAATTATCAACGGTTCATCATCATGGATTCCAGTTTAAATACTGGAAATATCCAGTATCATCTTTCAAAAATTAGGCAATGTAAATTTGGTCATTATTCTCAATCTACATCTTACAGGGTGTCCCAAAAAACATGTGAATTCAGTGACGAATTGTATATCGTCTTTTTTATGAATTATCATTTTAATACCTAATTTCAAAAGCCATAACATTAATATGTCTGATAGAGTTTATTTAATGAAAAGGGTAAATGGCTGTAAAGATGTGTCTATAATGTCTCCGCAAGATGAACAGTGAAGACGGACAAGTTTACTTTGCTTGTATAATGTAATTTTCTTTTTTTACTAAGTACAACCGTATGCAGTCAAAACATAAACAAACAAAATGTGAACATAGCAGACGAAACTCTTTTAAACAGATTACAGCTTTCTCAGTAGGTATCACTTTACTAAATCATGACTAAATCAAAGAATTAATTAAAAAGACGATATCGAATTCGTCACTGCATTCCCATGTTCATTGGGAGACCCTGTATTTGAAAAAAAAAATTTTACACCTTACATTTAAGTGTTTGGGTTCTGAATAAATACTTTTTTCATGGTAAATTCGAGGTCCTCCTGTACAAAATTCCAGTGAGCCTTAACTTTAACAGCTATTTTTAACCCTTCAATGAAGATTTTTCATATTTTATTTTAAACAATTTTTGGGGGGCGATGTATTTTAGATTTTTAGGTATTAAAGTTATTTAACGCTAATTTTGATGGATTTTGAATTGGAGATCAACATATGATTGAAAATATTCTGATACAGGATGGACTTTGTTGTAGGCAGTTCAATGTTGTTTTATCTATACTCAGATCACTGAATACAGAAATAGGTTGGGGACTGGTTTCTCTGGTTTTACTCCGGATAGAGATGGACCTAGGTACGTTTTAGGGACTGTTTTTTTATTTCAAGTCTACTCCTTTACTTCAGCAATTAAGAGTTAAATATCGTAGTGTTGTTTTCTTAAGTAATCTCTGCTAGGTGGCTCAATCACTCTTTCATCCTAGATCAGGCAAAGATTTAAGAAGTACCGTTGTGAATTTTACACGTCTCTCTATATTTGAAGGGTTGCTGAAAATTTCAGATACAGTCTCATTAAATACCAAACAATCTATAATAAACGTCTCATCATTTATAATTGCAAAGGTAAATAATAAATATGGCGAAGTTGTCATTGTATTTCTAAATTACATATTTTCAATTTCTGGTTTCTATTGAAGTGACTTTTAAATACGGACTACAGCACATAAATCTCACAAGAAGGGGATCATTCATCTGGCGTACTGTACCGGATTGGCTTACTTAGTCTGTAATTGTACTGCACAGCTTGACCTAGCTGCAGTTAATAGTCGGCCCAGAACTTGATTTTAATTGGAGCTTGTATATTTTTTGGTACCTTTGTGAATTGAAAATAAATTGCATTACAATACAAATTTTTAACTCTCCAAATTACATCGTTTGTAATAAAGTGAAATTTTTAATTGGTTAAACTTTTTAGATTGGTTGAATTTGCTTAGATTTGTTCAATTTGTATGTATTGGTTGAACTTGTTTAGATTGGTTGAACTTGTTTAGATTGGTTGAACTTGTTTAGATTGGTTGAACTTGTTTAGATTGGTTAAACTTGTTTAGATTGGTTGAATTTGCTTAGATTTGTTTAAATTGTTTGGATTGGTTGAACTTGTTTAGATTGGTTGAACTTGTTTAGATTGGTTGAACTTGTTTGGATTGGTTGAATTTGCTTAGATTTGTTTAATTTGTTTGGATTGGTTGAACTTGTTTAAATTGGTTGAACTTGTTTAGATTGGTTGAACTTTTTTTGGATTGGTTGAACTTGTTTAGATTGGTTGACCTTGTTTGGATTGGTTGAAATTGTTTGGATTGGTTGAACTTGTTTGATTGGTTGAACTTGTTTGGATTGCTTAAACTTGTTTGGATTAGTTGAACTTGTTTGGATTGGTTGAACTTGTTTGGATTGGTTGAACTTGTTTAGATTGGTTAAACTTGTTTGGATTGGTTGAACTTGTTTGGATTGAGTTGAACTTGTTTGGATTGGTTGAACTTGTTTGGATTGGTTGAACTAACTTGTTTGGATTGGTTGAACTTGTTTGGATTGGTTGAACTTGTTTGGATTGATTGAACTTGTTTGGATTGATTGAACTTGTTTGGATTGGTTGAACTTTTTTGGATTGGTTGAACTTGTTTAGATTGGTTGAACTTGTTTGAATTGGTTGAACTTGTTTGGATTGGTTGAACTTGTTTAGATTGATTGAACTTAAGTTTGACTCTTGAAAAAAACGATGTCCATCTCTAGCGCTAGGTACAGGTTTAGACAGCTCTACTCTAGGTACAGGTTTAGACAGCTCCAGGTACAGGTTTATACAGGCAGATTATCATCTACGAGGAACCGTTCTACTCCAGTTTTCTTTAAACCATCAGCTTATTCACTGTTAGAAATAGTCCCAAATATTTTGATCAAAATATCTCTACCGAAATTACGAACATTTTATGCGACATTGTGAACGTAATGTTAAGAATATCTATCAAATTTCATTTTTCCTAACAATCTGTTAACAATTTTGAACAAAAAGTTCGTTATTTCGAGCAAAATACCAGGCTTTTTTCTAATTTCTAGGGTGGCAGACTAAATCATGTTAATCAGACTTTTAGTTCTCGCATTAAGGAATATATTTCTAGATTTAAAAAGAATTATATAATTCTGCAAAATATTTTTTGATGGAAATATATTCAATAAATTTCTGATTGGTATTTTCGATTTACATTGTTGCCATGAAAAGGTTTGCCTGATTAATTATGAATGGGATATCCATGTTTTTGCTTATTGAAAATTCATTATAATTAGTTTAGGATTTATCATTTAAATGTAATTTTAAGTTAAAAAAGCGAATATATCATCCAAAGTATTGGTAAGGTAAAGATTTGTAAGGTACCCTTGAGAATCGGACTTTACTTTCTTGAAATGAGGTGTTACTTGAAACTACGTTTTCGATTCCTAATATTATCCTGAAATTGAAAAATTTTTTAAATCATTTCAATCTAATCAACGCCCTCGAAAAATCGGATGTGAGTCCCAACAATTTCAAATCTAATTTTTTTTTTCATTTTGAATAAGAAATATTTTGTCAAGTGTTCTTCATGTTTGTGGTGCCGGTATCCTTCCTTTATACATGCTGGGTAAATATAATTCTTAGCACAGTGGAATCCATTTATAGTGATATGCATTCCATTAGTTCCGTTTTTCGCCAATATTTCCTTTAAGGATCCACAGTGTATGGAAAAAATTGTTTTCAAAATTGTTTACACAACACGTGTGCAAATTAATTCTAACATTTTGGAAATTTTTGTCCCTGACAAAAGAGGCAAAAAAAGAACCAAGAACGACCCAAAAACGACCCAAAAACTGAAGTGCTACAGTGAAACCCTTAATAACGAATACATCGGAGGAATTTATCAAATGTCGTCTTGACGATTTATCAATGAGTTTTATACTATATTACGTAAATTTCAGTATTTGCGAAAATAAATAAATAGCCATGAATATGCGGGAACAGTTTTAAAGAGTTCCATATAATCATTTAGTTAAAAAGCTAAATATCTGCAACATTCCATTATTAGAAAATGAAGAATACGACATTTGATGAATTCTTTCGATGTATTGGTTATTAAGGGTTTCACTGTATTATAACTGTTTTTATTTTCTTTTGCTTAGGATAAAATTATTGAACATTTTTTAAACGTTAACATTACTTTTTGACAGTTATGAAATCTTTGAAGTTTAAAAATTATTTTGTCCCAAAATGATTCAAAATGGTTGACGTTACCCATAAAACTTTGGAATAGAAACACTACACAGGCAGCCGTAGTACATTTGAATTTCCGAGCCTGGTCAACCTTTCCGGTCCCAGTTTGTACTGTACCGCACAGACATAAGGCAGAAAATCAACAGGACTAGACGGTGCAACGCAGTCAGACGTTATGCTTCATATATGTTGAATTTACTTTTACTAAAGGGGCAGAGGTGCGTGACTTCTGTTATTTTCAAGAAAAGAGTTTAGATAGTTCAATACGTACGAAACACAAGAATTGTGAAGTTTAAACTGATCCATTTTACATAAGTTGACTTTTAAGGTACTTTGAGGTACTTTCAGGTACCATTAAATGTTGAAATGTTATCATTATAGTTCACAGTTTTTTAGTTTCCACTGTACTACAGGATATCCAATAGTTCTCTAAAAGATTCCACATATCATCTGAAATTTGTTATCAAAACTTTGGTCAATTGGTTTCATTCCATGGTTTATGAATGAATAAACAGAGATTACATTTTTTATAAGGACTAATTTAAACCCAGCTGTGCCCAAAAAGCCCAATACTCAACTAAGAGTGTTTTAACCAAGCTTAAAGCACAATCACATGGTCAAGGGATTTTTGAGACGTATGAAAGAAAGATTACTACTTTTTATAAAGATACAGCGTAACCCACCGTAATGAAAAATCAAAGATGACCAAATATATAAATATAAAAGTGTCTGCCTGTCTTGGTGTATGTCTGTTTGGATGGATTTCCATGCATAACTTGTGAACCCCTGGACCGATTTGTCTCCACGTTTATTGGGAAACTTTTTATAGAGGAAGCCTGGGTTATCTACTAACTCATTATCTAATAAATTAAGGATGATATTTTAGAGACGACTGTGGGGAATTTATGCAGTCTGTTTTCTTATATTCATGGAGCCCATTATGAACCCTTCAAAGGGTCGAATTCAAAGAGTTTTAGATCGTCATTGAATTCGCATTCTTTGTATGTGTAACCATTAACCCTGATATTTATTGTGAAAAAATGAATACTTAGCCCGCATTTAATTTATTCTATAAACGTAAACCCCCATCAAACTTTGATGCTTCTTACTGGAAAACAAAACTAAACAAAATCAAGATTTGAAGCCAGAATTGTAGAAAATATATTTCTCAAATTAATTTCTAAATGTTTTAGACATTTTGAAAATATATTCTTAAATGATAATCTTTGTCTTTTGATTTTCTTTTAATCAGAAATAACGCTTTTTTAATTGTAACTATCTTATATCTCTGAAAATTTGCTTCTAAATTTTTGTTGATTTTGAGAATAATATCAGTAACAGTACAACTGCAGATACAATTGCAAAATCTGTTGCGGCAATTCTGATAAAAGCAAAGACTACTTCAAAAATATCCTTTTTTCAAATCCAATTGAGTAATGTGACAATGTCTCTGCAATCCCATGTAAAAGTTCTCCTTACTTTTCTCTAGATTAATGTCAATCTTTAGAGGGATGTCATTTCCAATCAGACATAAAAGGAATAAAAAAAACAATTCTGTAACTTTAACTTTCTCTCAAATCCCCCCAGCCCCCCTTTTTCCTGAACTTTCTCTGATTTTAATTTTTAATATCCTCCCCCCCCCTTCATCCCACTAATGATTATAAAAAGTGTTTTTCTAGGAGAATATGAGTTTGTCTCTGATGACAATTATGATAATTTTCTTTATGAAATTGGAGTCGGAGTCTTTCAAAGGTAATTTATGTGAAATCGGAACTTTTGAATTGTTAATATAATTTATAATTCGTTTATTTATTTTTGGTCTGACAGTATAGGTTTATTTCTTTTGGGTGATCGTAAGATAAAACCAATAAGTAATACAGTTTAACCCAAAATTTTGGAAACATCAAAGAATTTTAAAAATGTCGTCTTAACAATTTTTCAATGGGTTGTATGCGTTTGTATTTGTACCTAAATGTCAGCAATTTCGAAAATAATTAAATAGCCTGAAATATATGAAAACAGTTTTAAAAACTTCTATATTAATATCTAATAAAAAAATTAAATATCTGCAGGATTCCATTATCTGTATGTTTAGAAGACGACATTTTAGAAATTCTTTCAATTACTTCAAAGTTCTGGGTTAAACACTAGTCCTTGTCTTATTAATAGGTCGCTTAGTTACGAGTCAGTTTTTTTTTATTTAGATTAGCGCTATTTATATGATGCTAAAAATTCTGACCTCTGGATAAAATTGAAATATAGTACATTTTTAAGAATTAATAGTCGCCAAATTGACAAGAAAATTTACCGTCACATAATTTTCTAACTTGTTCTTTTATTTTTTTATGAATCTGTTTATAGCTTACAAAAGAAATATGGCTTGAAAAGTGTTTAAAGATAGAAGTGAATTTGTATTCCATAATTTCCAGGAGAACCTTGACTGCTGCTAAACCATCAGAAAAAATTAGGTATTTTTTCATTCCTTTTATTTTCAGTTTTCATTTTCGTTTTTTATTCTCATTTTATCAACTATTACTATTTTATTTTATTTTGTTTAACTTTTTAGTTTTTTTTTTTAGTTTTTTCGAGGAACCTATAGCAAAAGACTGTTTTAATGCAATAAATGCTATACAAACCTAATGCTTTTATAAAATACTTTTTTCAAATCCGAGTTAATATGTATATATATATTCATATTATATACCTAAATACCCTCTAAACAATAATGTTAAAGCTGTAAGCGTAATTTCAAAGATTGCAACATTAGATTCACTTTTGTAGAGAAAATAGAATCTGCAAATTATCACAAAATAAACATTCGCACATATTGCACATTTATTCAGACAAAGCGTTTAATGGTATCGTTGTGAATCCTTGCATAGACATTTACTTTAGTTTAATCTTAATGTCCTCATTTATTCATTTGATGCATTTATGGGCATTTCAAATCCTTGTGAATTGTTTATGTCACTTTTTCATTTATAATGTTTTCCAGAGAATCAGGAGATTTTGTAGAAATAGCGATTAGTACAGATGTCGGGGGGAGAATTATTCAATCTAAATTCAAGGTAATCAATTTAACCACCTTTTCACCAACATTCCCACCAACAAAGGAACATTAAGTCACTTAACGTCTTTTGGGACAATAAAGTAAAATAACCACCCGCTCTGCGAAGTTTTCGTGAAAAAAAATTCGCGCATTTTCATCTCATTGTGTTAAACTACTTTTTCGGGAAATTAAAATTTTACTTCACCAAGGGTTCCTCTTGGAAACCCTTGGTGAAGTAAATTCCCTGAACTCCTTGTAAAGTAGGTGTTAATGATTAATCATGATTATTATAATTATAACAATTATTGCATTTTTTTATAATTATTACAATTATTACAATTATTACAATTATTACAATTATTACAATTATTACAATTATTACAATTATTACAATTATTACAAATATTACAATTGTTACAATTATTACAAATATTACAATTGTTACAATTGTTACAATAAATAAAATATTAACAATTATTACGCCTTGCCTATATTTGATTAGAATAAAATAACTCTAAAATTTTCTGCTGTTTTTTTTTATAGTTTTTAATTCTCCTTTTGTTTAAGCTCGGGAGTCCGTATGTAGAGTTAGGAAATGAAGGAGAAAAAATTCCAACTCTTGCAAGATTAGGTAAAATTATGTTTTTTTTTAAAGGGAAAGACTGGCTAGATGGTAGTTGAGCTAAGATTAAGAGTACAGTTTTGCAAAAAAAAATTTTCAGGATTTATTTGAAACCTGTAAAACATTTTTACAGTGTATAATTGTTTAACAAGAGCGAAAATTCAATCTTTAGGAATGCTTTAGAGAATCGGTTAAACAAATATTATATTCATATATGCCGTCTTGACAATTGTTTAATGAGTTTTATACTTCTACTACTAAATCTGAAGAATTGTTAAAATAAACAAATATCCATGTAGTATGAGGGAACAGTTTTAAAAATATAATTATTCAATTAAAAGACTAAATATCTGCAGCACTCCATTATCAGTAGGTTAAGAAAACGATATTTTATTCACTCTTTTAATGTCTCAAAAGTTCTCTGGATTTGGATTAAACGTAGTTTACAAGGATTGCAATTCAAGGTTAATTAGCTCAATTACTTTTTTCCTGAAGTTGGTTTGAAAAATTTTTTTTTTTAAATTTATTTTTGTAGAGGGGAACAAGCTAATAAAGTTAAAGAAGCCTGATGATCTGAATATAGAAGAAGAGAGAGAGTTTCTAGATGATGGTAACACAATGAACCTTCATCTTAGGTATACACTCTTAACCCCCTATAAAGGCTGGGGGGGTCTGAATCTGAATCTATGTATAAATGGGGGGGGGGGCGTGGGACCCCATCACCAAGAAAAAGACTTAGAGAATAGGTATTATAGAGTTGAAATTCATGTTCGTAGCCCATTTTTTAAGGTCAGCTCATTTAATAAAATTAGATCGATAACGGGTGCTAGGGAGGGTTGAAAAAAATGGCAAAAAAAGGTCAAAAACTTTAAAAATATTTTTTTTGTTTAAAACAAATATTAAAGTGTGACCCATGTTTTTAAAGGGCTTTTCAAAAATATAGTTTTAGTCATAAAAAGTTATGAACTCTTTAAGATTTTTTTTCACATACCGGACTTTTTACCGCCCTGTACCCTACCCTATGCATAAAAAGATAAGAAAAATGTACAAAAAATGCTTTAAATCTCTTTTTATAAAAAGTATAAAATGTTCACGGTCATAGTATCAAAAATAACAGTGCTATGGGAAAAAACTAGAGAGTGGGGGAGGCGCCAAATACCCTCTTCCAGCCTGTTTAGGGTTAAAAAGGGTTCTACAGGCTACATCTAACACACCCTTGATGATATACAGCGAGAACCAGAAAATCTAGAATAGGAAAACGACTTTTAGACTCAAGTTATGACATTAAATACTTTAAAATTGTCCACAGCAATTGTGCAGTGTAAAGAGACCCATTTCACTTAATTAGTGTTTTGATAAATGTCTGCTGTTATTTTTCTCCAAACTAAATTTCTTTTTTTGACACATTTACTGTTCTGTTGCTGGATTGAAATTTTTTAGCTAATTCTTAAAAATATCGCAGAATTAAATAAAATCTTGTCATTTTTCACGATAGGCTGAAAATTCCTGATTACACAACTAGTTTTTTAACAATTTTGCACCATTTTTGCATATTTAGAATGAAATGTTCAAAGGTTTAGAGCTTTAAAAATGTATAAGGAATTGAGTTTTTGCCACTAACTCTGATTTTCTAATTTCAATATCGTTGCAACCCAATGTCGTAGACCTTTAATATTTCAAACTATGAAAGCTGTTAGATCAAATAATGTAAGTTTGAATTATCGAAGGTTTACATCATAAGGTTGGAAAGATATAGGTTTTACAAAAACGGAATTTGTGGCAAAGACTCAATTCCTTTGCAGTTCATGCATTTTACACCTTTAAGGATCCATCATATGAATTTAACTTAAGCTATAATTCTAACTCCACTCATTCCAGCTATTTTGACTAAAACAAATATTTTAAAATTATTTATAATGTGAATAAATGTATTTTACTTTTTTTCAGGTTATTAGGAAAACCTGACGCAACAGCAGTTCGAGTTTTTAAGAAGAAAGGATCTGGTAACTTTAACGCCGGAAATTCTTTCCAAAATGACAATATCCGCGAAAATGAAGATTACAAATATGGAACAAATTTCGAGGATTCTCAGGATGACTTCCAGAACTCTGATACATTTCTCAACAAGGGCGCCAAACAATCTATAAACGATAATCATCAATCCAATTCTGGCACATTTTCTCAAAATGAAGACGAGTATCAGACCGCTCAAGTACAAAACACCAATGAGAGAGAACAATTTAGCAATAACGATGATTATGAATATCAGAACGCATTTTCCGACGTTGAATCTGATTTTTCTCCAGGTCAAACTGATCAACAAAGAACTGAAGAAAAACAAAGAAATTCTACAGGTCAAACTGATCAACAAAGAACCGAAGAAAAACTAAGAAATTCTACAGGTCAAACTGATCAACAAAGAACCGAAGAAAAACTGAGAAATTCTCCAGGTCAAACTGATCAACAAAGAACCGAAGAAAAACTAAGAAATTCTACAGGTCAAACTGATCAACAAAGAACCGAAGAAAAACTAAGAAATTCTACAGGTCAAACTGATCAACAAAGAACCGAAGAAAAACTGAGAAATTCTCCAGGTCAAACTGATCAACAAAGAACCGAAGAAAAACTAAGAAATTCTCCAGGTCAAACTAATCAACAAAGAACTGAAGAAAAACTGAGAAATTCTACAGGTCAAACTGATCAACAAAGAAATGAAGAAAAATTAAGAAATTCTACCTCGACTAATTTTTACTAAAACCATTTTTTTTCTATTTTTAAATAATATTTTGTTCCGAAACTTTAATTTCTACCGGTATTAAATACAATTTAAACAATAAACTTACTTACAAAAGTTGACAATCAAATGGTGAGAGTCAAAGGTAGTTTTTTTTTTCATAAGATGAATTCTGAGCCTAAATCTTGTATTTCCAACCCCAACCTGTAAAGGTATGTCTAACTTTCTGAATTTACTCTAAATATTTCTCTCAAAATCTTTTAAGAATTCTGAGGACAGATTTTTTGGTGAACTGAATAAGAGACTGAGTTTCAACAAATTTCTGAAAATTCCTCCGGATTTTTTCCCAAGAAATTCTCGAGAATTTCTCTGAGAAATCCTCAGGACTTGGTCACAAATTACACGGATTGTTTGAAAAACTGAATAAGAGACTTATTTTTGAAAAAATCCTGAGAATTTTTCCAAAGAAATTATCAAGAATTTATCCAAAAATTCCTAATAAATTCTCAGGACTTGATTCACCAATTTTACGGAATTATTGAATAATAGAATAGAGACTTTTCTGATCGAGAAGTAAAATAATTATTACAAATAAATAGTTAATTATTACAAATAAAACAGTTATAGAAATTCTAGTTCTACATGGGTTCCCTTGAACAAGTTTGCAAAATTGGTCAAGGGAACCCTTGGTTAATACAAAATTTTAACTTCCCGGAAAAGTAGTAATTGAAATTATTTGCATCCCCCTCCCCACACACAGTAGGGCATTTTAGAGGGGCAGGGGGAGGTGACTGGTTTTTGTCACAATACTCCTATTAAAATGCATTCATCTTGTGTTTCATATTGAGAATGGACAAATCAATATATTTTCTGATAATCATTTAAAAACATTGTATGAATTTTAGCTTACATTATTTTATTATAATTTCAATTTAAAATTACTTTTCCCGTTCATGTATTTATTCTTGAACGGATTCTGTAAATTCCCAATATATTTAGAATGTCGTCTTTGTTAAAGCTAACTATTTCGGGAAGAAAACATATACCTTTTATTTTTTTTATACAAAATTACAACGAATTCAAGATAATCAAGATATATAAAAAGATTCTGACAACCATTAATCAAAGATGTAGGGGCGCCACAAGCCCGCCAAAATCATGGTTTTGGCTCTGATTCGTGCATAAAATACCCAGGGACCAAGACAGATAAGTATATTATATGTATATATAGATATGAACTATCTTTAAACGTAGAGTAAAATGTACACGTGGAGATTTATTAATATTTATTACTGCATTAAACATAAATAACATAAACGCTTAAACGTAAATTTTATACAACCATGGAAAGGGCTAACATTTTCTTAAATTACACTTTCCACACTTTTTCTGAACCTATCTTAGAGAAATATTTAAATCATATCCTATATAGAAAAATGCTTTTATTTTAATACATCCACAAATATTGAAAATCATTAACGATATAAATTCATTTTCATTAGCATTTTCTCCCCTGAAAGGAAAGAGTACATATAGAAATATTTATTATAAAAGGTTTTTCAAAAGTCCCGATATCTTTGCAAACTGATGGTAAACACCTTTGATATTTTGATTTTTTTTGATAAATTAATACTATTTGATCCAACAAAATTCATAGCTTGAAATGGGTAAGGTCTACAAGAATGGGTTGCTAAGAAATATAGTTTAGAAAACCAGACTTTGTGGCAAAGACTCGTTTTCTTTACGCACAAAGATAAACATCATACAAGGACATAAAATAACGTTTAATTCAACGGCGATTTCAGGTTGGGGGACAGTTGGCACAGTATTTTTTCATAATTCTCTTCATCAAGTCAAATAAATTTTTTTTGAGAAAATATTAAGAATGGAAGAAACTATATGAGAATGAGGAAGGATAAATGTGAGGATGAATAAAGAATGGAAGAAACTATATGAGAATGAGGAAGGATGAATTTAAGGATGAATTAAGAATGGAAGAAACTATATGAGAATGAGGAAGGAT